ATTGGCAACTGTTGTCCGATTTGAACAAAACGTGTCAATCCATGCAAACCAGAATTGTTGAACTCATAGAACTGGTGGCCAATGAAGAGGTCACTAACGAACTGTTGAGAGTTAACGACGAACTCAACAATCTTTTCCTACGATATGAAAGACACGCCAAGAAACACAAACCACAGCAACAAATGGCAGCAATGGCTGCGATGGCTGCACCCAAACCCACGCCGGCCTCAGAGCCCACTCTCATTGACTTTGACTCGACCGAAGAGTCGGGTGTCGCTAACCGTTTGGCAGACATTCAATTAAGTGGTATCAACGCTACCGCTTCCCGACCTATAGAGACAACTGCTGGTGATTTGGACTTTGATGTGTTCGCTCAGTCCAGAGGCACTTCCACTAAAGACAACACCACTACTAATGATTTAAATTCAGTTAAACCACAACTCAATAAATCGATGCCAATCCCTGATATGATACCACAGGTATGATATGAATCTGTCATTTATATACCATCTAACCTCCCCATAAGAAACCGTAATTTTCATTTCAAGTGGTTTTATAGCATTTTATCGGAGCAATTAGAATATTGAATATCTGAGTATTATATTATTGGTAATGTTAGGTTTATGACTAATTCGAAATATGCTTCCAATGTTCAGTTCAGAATCATGCACCATTGTAGTTGTCATTATTTAAAATGATAAATCTTCCAATTAGTTTGTTAATGATATATTTCATATTATTAAAACTATCATGTTAAAACATATGAAGATTTCACATTTTTATAAAAATTTAGCCTAAATGTTGAAACTTAATGAAATGTTCAGATGAAAATAAATTCATTGAAATTTTTATTCCTATTTGCAATTTAATATTTATTTAGTGTAGTTTATAGGAACGATTACCGTATTGTTGAATCTATAGGAGAATTCAATGATCTTTTGTTAATTCAGTGACAAAAAAACGAAGTTGTTAATTGCTTCAATTTAATGTTGGTCAATTTATTGTTTTGCTTACAACCTTTGTTTCAATCTATACTCTATCGGGAGATATGCCTCTATTAGAGGTGTTGCTTACCCAGTGGTTTGACTGAATATACAGTAATATGTGTTTGAATGTTAGGCACAACGGGAACAAGATTTTGATGAGATGGAGAAGTGGCTGAAAGAGGACCCATCGCTGGCCGGCAATGAATTCGACCGCTTCTTAGCCGAGAGGGCGACGGCTCTCGA